CTCGAAGCTGGCCTTTGCTTCCTTTTTCGCATCAACTTTAGCTCCAGTCTTCCGCACATTGACACTCTCACTCCGGGAGATCGGTCTTAAGCCACGCGCAACTCCTGTATGGTGATTTCGCCACCTCTTTGTACTACATCTAAGCGCTCCCTCTTCTTTGCTTCCAAATATGCCTTCCTTTGGAATAATCTTCCGCCTGAAATTAGATTATCGCCTAAGTTACTGGTATTTAAGTCGAAATTACGCAAACATCTTACACCGGAAAGCATAAAGGCACTGTAAACGGTCTCAATCCCGAACACTCAGATTCTTGCCTTCTAGAAGGGTCCTCCTGGGATTAAGTGGTAGATTAAGTGGTAACTGTTAGTTATATCATTAGAAACCCCTGTTTTGAATTGGTTGCTAAATCCACATAGCGACAATTTTCGCGGTTTTTGATGTCATCTCCCGCATTCCGACCTCATTCGGTCTGTCGACGCTCACGGTGGAACCCTCAGTATTCACCGTCTACTAGTAATTTGGTCGTACCTCCCTTCCCCACTGCTCGGCTGAGTTCGAATCGTGATGTGGCCGATCGCATCTGGGTTCCTCTCGTCTGGCCTCTTTGACGCGAATAGTCTCATGCGGCGTATCAATCCGGCCCAGACGATCTCAATTGTGTATCCCGTATACAATGCCACATGCAAGCCAGTCCTGTCTGACCCGCATACGTACCCCTCAAGGCTGAGATTTATTGCTACCCTGACGATGACCGACAACATTCCGTTATATACCGCCACCTACAGGCCAGTCCTGCTCGCTTTTTTCTGTTATTATTTTTAAAGAGGGGTTTTTTTCTCCTGTAAAATTAATCCAATCATTTTTAACTTTTTCTAAGGAGTTTTTTTTCACCCTTCAATCATCATGTTTCTCAATGGACTTCTAATTTAGAAACTAGGAATTGCATTTTGTAGAGATTCGGCCTACCTCGTCTAAAACTCGCATGCAAATTTATTTTAACTTGCTTTGATGGGACCCCGACGGGTCTTTAATAAAACATTATCTATCTATCTAAATCCCAGGAGGACCCTTCTCGAAGTCAAGAAGCTGAAAATGAGACCGTTGGGATTGCCTTTATACTTTCCGGCGTAAGATGTTTGCGTGATTCCGATTGGAATACTGACAACTTAGGCGATGACCTAATTTCTGGCGGAAGATTACTTCAAAGGAAGGCATATTTGGCAGCAAAAAAAGAGGGAGCGCTTACATGTAGGGCAAAGGGGCGGCGAAATCACCATGGAAGAGTTGCGCGTGGCATAAGACCGATCTCACGGAGTGAGATTGTCAACGAGCGGAAGACTGGAGCTAGATTTGATGCGAAAAAGGAATCAAAGGCCAGCTTCGAATCTTCTAACCCACAAAAACTTAATGTTCGCTGTTTGGCATCTCTGCGTATAAGAAGTACCGGGTGCGACTTGAGAGAAATGTTTCCGGGTGAAAACCCTCTCAACATTTTCAGTTTTATTAGGATCACAGGCGATCATTAAACCAAATTTAGGACAGCAGTATTCGAGGACAGGAAGAACAAACATTTATTAAAGTCATTTCCGGAAGGAAAAAAATGATGCGATATGAATCCACACATCTGAGCGGCTTTGCAGAGATTCTATCTGCACGAGGTGATAAAACAAGTTTCTTTTTATATATACTTCGGCCGTAAAAGGCCTTTGACAAATTTTCACACAGACGATAGCTAATAAGGCTAATAGGTCGTGCGATTAGATCACCCTTTTCAATTTTCTCAAATGATGTCTGCAAAACCGATATCACGTGGTTCAGATTCGCAACATAGTCTCAGAACCTCCCCATATTACCTGTGGGTTACTTCAGGGCACTACCCAGTCCCCTCCTATTTACATATAAATTTACAACTTTCGTCATATCAGTTTCAGTTAGAATCCTTTCATTTGCGGGCGACCCAAATCTCAAATATGCATGTAACGAGCGTACGGTAGCCAGTATGCATAGGATAATCGAAACCGATCTTTGAAAGCTTGGGAAATGGACTAGTGAGTGGAAAAGACCATTCTCACAGACAAAATGCCATCTCCTGATATTTGGCCCACAAAAGCTTCCCTCTCCATAATGTTGAGGAAGCCCAACCCATAAATGACCTAAGTCTGAGCTATACAA